CGGAGGGATGTGGAGGCATAAAGTCAAGGGAGAAGCCCATAGAGAGTCATAAAGTTGCTCCTGCTGCTCATGGACAGCTAATACTCACGCTCTCCGGCTCTGCAAGATTCGGAAGGGAATGATTCAGATTCCTCTTGGCACAGCTACTAGAAGACGTACAACTGTGAGACAGGTTGCTCACGTCACATCTACGTCGTCAAGCTCAGTTTGTGTCACATGCCTGTCCTGTCTTGTGTTGCACATGGGTGTTTGTTATGTTGTGCCATGTGCTGTTTTGATTGTTGATCCCTCCCCCTCGTTATCTGATTAGTGTTTGAGTTGTTCCACCTGTCCCCTCTTGATTTGTTCCCTTTTTAAGTCTCCTCTTGTTTGCAGTCTTTGTTGGTTCATTGTCAGATGTTTCCTGGTTTGGTCTGCGTGTTTTTAGTCGGTGTTTGTTTTGCGTAATCAGTTTTTGTTCATGTTTCTTCGATTATGGTTTTTCCCCCTTGTGGGTTTTTGCTTTGTGTTTTGTTTTGTTTTGTTAAATAAATCCTTATGTTGCATTTGAATTCTCTCTCCCCTTTTGTATCGTGACAGAATGAACCGACCACTTTGGAGGACTCAGCAGTATGGGTATCACACTGGGACAGAGATGGAGGTCGACGATTGCATGGATGACGATCTTTTGGACTGCCCGGACTATACCATCGCAACTTTTGGATCTACTCAATTTTCCAGGATCTGGCATGACGGAATGACTCCGGCCTCCAACGGACCCGGTAGAATGAACATTTTTCAGGCTCTCGCTTTTATGGCCAGTCAAAGGGAGGAGTCGGAGCGTTTGGCCAAGGTTTCGGGGGGGAACCGTGGAGGTCGCAGGAGGGAAGGTGCCAGAGGTGAGCTCCAGAACCACTCTCCGCTTCGGTCACTCCTCGATCATCCACCGACGATCTCATCCAGCACCAAATCGGCACGTCGCCATCAGAGACGGCGGAGTAGGGGAAAGATCTCCAACCTCCCTGAGTGCCCGGAAGCCGGTCCTCAGCAGCCCGCCATTCTCCTGGAGGCCAATCCAGAGACCGTCCACGTCCCGTCTGCGCAGCGAGAGACTGTCCACGTCCCGTCTGCCCAGCGAGAGACTGTCCACGTCCCGTCTGCCCAGCGAGAGACTGTCCACGTCCCGTCTGCCCAGCGAGAGACTGTCCACGTCCCGTCTGCCCAGCGAGAGACTGTCCACGTCCCGTCTGCCCAGCGAGAGACTGTCCACATCCCGTCTGCCTTCCTGAGCCAGGACTATCTGGAGCGGCTGGCTCGGATATTGGAGAAGCCGGTGTCCGGTGTTTCGGAGCTGAACCTAGTGTCTGTTCCTGAGCCAGTGCCTGTTCCTGAGCCGGAGGCAGAGCCAGTGCCTGTTCCTGAGCCGGAGGCAGAGCCAGTGCCTGTTCCTGAGCCGGAGCCGGAGGCAGAGCCAGTGCCTGTTCCTGAGCCGGAGGCAGAGCCAGTGCCTGTTCCTGAGCCGGAGCTCATGTCGGTTCCGGACCCAGTTTTTGTGTCTGTGTTTGTGTCTGTCTTTGTGACTGTTTTTGTTCTAGTGTCTGTTCCCGAGCCGGTGTCTGTTCCTGAAAGATCTGCTCCGCCCTGGCCACCCGAGGGGTCTGCTCCACCCTGGCCGCCCGAGGGGTCTGCTCCGCCCTGGCCGCCCGAGGGGTCTGCTCCGCCCTGGCCGCCCGAGGGGTCTTCGCCGCCCTGGCCGCCCGAGGGCTCTTCTCCGCCCTGGCCGCCCGAGGGCTCTTCGCCGCCCTGGCCGCCCGAGGGCTCTTCGCCGCCCTGGCCGCCCGAGGGCTCTTCGCCGCCCTGGCCGCCCGAGGGCTCTTCGCCGCCCTGGCCGCCCGAGGGCTCTTCGCCGCCCTGGCCGCCCGAGGGCTCTTCGCCGCCCTGGCCGCCCGAGGGCTCTTCGCCGCCCTGGCCGCCCGAGGGCTCTTCGCCGCCCTGGCCGCCCGAGGGCTCTTCGCCGCCCTGGCCGCCCGAGGGCTCTTCGCCGCCCTGGCCGCCCGAGGGCTCTTCGCCGCCCTGGCCGCCCGATGGACTCTGTGTTTCTCCCTCACCGCCCTATGGACTCTCTTTTTCGCCCTGGCCGCCCGATGTTCCTGTCCCGCCCTGGTCTGTTCCTCCCGTCCCGCCCTGGTCTATCCCTTCAGTCCCTCCAATCAGTCCCTTCCGTTCCACCCTGATGTTTCCTTCCTGCCCCGCCCTAGCCTGATGGAGCGTCTGGTAGCCGCTCCGTAGGGAGGGGGTTATGTCACATGCCTGTCCTGTCTTGTGTTGCACATGGGTGTTTGTTATGTTGTGCCATGTGCTGTTTTGATTGTTGATCCCTCCCCCTCGTTATCTGATTAGTGTTTGAGTTGTTCCACCTGTCCCCTCTTGATTTGTTCCCTTTTTAAGTCTCCTCTTGTTTGCAGTCTTTGTCGGTTCATTGTCAGATGTTTCCTGGTTTGGTCTGCGTGTTTTTAGTCGGTGTTTGTTTTGCGTATTCAGTTTTTGTTCATGTTTCTTCGATTATGTTTTTTCCCCCTTGTGGGTTTTTGCTTTGTGTTTTGTTTTCTTTTGTTAAATAAATCCTTATGCTGCATTTGAGTTCTCTCTCCCCTTTTGTATCGTGACAGTTTGAGCCTGCGCAGTGCACTTGGCAATCAGGAAGTGAGTGCTTCTAATTGACTTCACTTTTCTCCGTTGAAGTCTATGGGGTCGCTGTGTCCATTTCTTTTACTGTCTATGTAGGTAAGACGGCTAATTAAAATGGTACTTATTTGCGCTTATCCGGGATGTTTAAACCGTCGTAAAAGAAAACAATTACGTATGCTCACGCGAACTCATCCGGGAGTGGTGAGTTTTCACAAATTCCCAATTTATGGGAGAGATCACTTCCGTCGCTTTCCGGCGCTTGCGCAGACCGAAGCGCCCGCGCCCTCAGATCACTTGGACAAGAGGTAAAAACGATATAAATACTGTTCGTTTTCTCACACAAACCGCTCGTTTCGTGTCTTAGGCCATCAATGTGTACTTACATTTACGAGTCATTAAATCATGTTTAATTTGGACTTCTCTGTGCATGCCCTTTGAGGTGGTGACCATAGACCTGCATTATATGACTGACAGACAAGAACGGTTTGACCAAAAATTATCAAAATTGAAACTACTGCGGAAACAAAGACACCTACATCTTGGATGCCCTTGAGGTAAGCTAAAACATACCAACAATTTATTTCAAAGTGAACGATTGTTTTACATTCTGAATGGATCTGTTTTTCTGTAAGCTGTAAGGTTAATGTCACCCCCCTTTTTTTTGCATAGACATAAAAATCACTATCCAAACTTAAATGGTTGTAATTCAGGAATGCTTTGGAATATAGACCTATGGCTGGTCTTGTTTTAAAGAAGACATTTTCCAGATTATTGTAGAAGTCTAGAAATTATAAAAAATGAAACAGAAAAAAAGTTATATAAGTTTGAGTTTATGAAATTGTGTAATGTAAAAATATAATGATTAATATTTTATATAAAATATATTACAAAATATAATTTACTCTAAAACTGCAAGAAAATTAAAGACAATGTTGTATTCCAAATTTTAGGTTGATATCTCAAAAAATGAGCTTTCAGTAAGATTTTATTCGGGCGCAGTACCCAACTTTTTCACTAGGTGAACACCAGACTCCATTACTGCCCATATAAGGGCGCCTCCATTTTCATATGTTTTGAGTGATCTGAACCATGTATTTCCATAATTTTCATACAATTTATGAAGTAGACATCCTATTCAGAAGTAGTATGGGTGGTTTGGCAGTATTTGATTGGAATTAAACCTCTAATAAATGCATAAAGACTACGTTATAGCGTTATAGCTCGCAGCCGCATCACAAATCGAGAATCCATAAATTTTTCTTTATATTTAAAGTATTTTCAGACATTTTTTTCTCATAAAATGGAATTGGTGTTATCTTTTGAACTCATGGCATGAAAACAAACTGAGGTTTCTACCAATCTTTCATGATTTTTCATATTTATTGTTATTTCAAAAAAAGGGCTAAATACTCCTAATTAATATGAAATATTCTTGTTGCAAATTTATAAATTTCTGCTCCTCTGTAAATTATTTTAGATAACAGCCACCAAATATGAAAACTAGAGATTTTAAGCTTTCAAATGATATATAGTTTGGCAATATTACTTTAGGTTTTTACTAAGATATTATTGTTTTAAACATGCAATGGCAAATGACAGGTTAAGAGGTTAAATCAGCTGGTTTAGTGTTCTGTAGTTATTTATATGTATATAAAACTCTAAACTAATGTAACATTTAGTTTTTCGTTTTTGCTGTTGCACTGTATACATAAATTCAAATTGTGAATTATGACAATGAAAAACTATTTTTAATTAAATGTATTTTATCTAATCTCTTTATCTTATCTATTTAATTTATAAAGGTCATCCAGGTGGATGCTGCACATTGGTGGTGGTTGAGGAGATTCCCCCTTCTATGTGAAGCGCTTTGAGTGTCCAGAAAAGCGCTATATAAATGTGATGAATTATTATTTTTATGAATACCTTAGTAAAATCACAGATCACAATCACTAAATGAATTAATATTTGTAATATTTATAATTGTAACTCAAATGTTGTTAAGACAAGCATTTGTACTTGTACTGTGTGGTGATAAGGATCATTATTTCTATTATATTTTTATTGTTTTGTAAAAGTCTCACAGTGACACCTACTTCCAACTGTCATCAGCTAATCCATTATTGAGTTGTACACACATTTTGATTAATACAATTATCATTAATTTTTCTTGTGTTCGGTTTAGTTTCTTCAGCTATACACACAGCTTTATTTTTTTACTTATGATAAACAAATCAGAATGAATCACTCAATTTAAGTCTGATGCTGTTCCAGGTGGATAAACATCCACAAACATCAGTTGAATAATTAAAGGGTATGTTACAAGCTGATTTCCTGATTGGCTTAAAGCCTGGGTGTTTTAGGGTGAGCCAGTATTTATTAGAACGACACCCATAACCAGAGATTCATTCTCGTCAGACACGCTGGGCAACTTCATCATTTCTGCAGACTACTCTAGGTAATGCTTTACTTTTATATATGCGATTTAAATGGTAACCAACACAGTAATAACATTTGATTAAAACAGATCTAATAGAACTAGATCGTGTGAAGTAGATTATCAAATCTGCTGTTGATAAAACTATTGCTATTTCTTGCTCAGCTTGTGAAAATGGAACATTTGACTGCAGCAAACACACAGTTCTCCCTCGACCTGTTCAAGAAGATCAGCGGAGGAAACGCATCAGGAAATGTGTTCTACTCTCCTGTCAGCATCTCCTCGGCTCTGGCCATGGTGTCGCTCGGTGCAAGAGGAAACACAGCAGCTCAGATGATTAAGGTGATCTCACACTTAGGTATATGTTTTATGACCAGTAGTTCAGAATTTAAAATGTATATTTTAGGCTATATGTGTGTTTGATGCAACATCATGCTCAGTATTTTAAACTATTATATGCTGTATTTTACTGCTGAATTAATTTATCAGAATAGTGAGGTTATCTTTATTAATTCTACCCATAATAATGCTGTGTAGGTCTTGTGCTTTAAAAACCCTCTCAAACCTGATGCCGCGACTCCAGGACATCATGATTCAGTGGACCAAATTCATTCCAGCTTCAAAAAGTTCATGAGTGAGCTGAACAAACCAGGAGTCCCGTATGCGTTGAGTCTTGCCAACCGCCTCTACGGAGAGCAATCCTACCAGTTTGTTGAGGTAAGAATCGAACCAAATGATCCAAAGTTTTGTTTTGTTATTAAAGGACAAGTTTCTGGAAATGTTCTCAACTCTAATATCATTTGTACCTCAATCGGTTTGCTGTGTAACAGAAATTCCTCAATGACGCAAAAAGCTACTATGAAGCCGGACTGGAGAAGGTGGACTTCAAGAGCAAACCAGAGGCTGCTCGTGTCAACATCAACAAATGGGTGGAGAAAAAAACACAAGGTGAAATCCAGCATAAACTTACTCTACAAATAATTTTCTGTGTTTTTGCTGCTTTTTAAGTTCAGCTAAATGTTTTTTTAAGGACCATGTTCAGCATGAGATATTAAGTTGAGCTATTTAGTTTTTTTGGAGGTTAAAGTTTGAACTTTAGTGGACTTTTTTTTTTTTTGGCCGTAAAGTTTACATTTCCATAAGAACTTTGAGACAAACACTTTAATAGTGTTTTTTGATTTATACTTAGTTAACAATACAGTGTTCACAATTACATATAAAAAGATATACACTACCGTTCAAAAGTTTGGGGTCGGTACGATTTTAAATACTTTTAAAAGAATTCTCTTCTGCTAACCATGGCTGCGCTTATTTGATTAAAAATACAACAAAAATCAGTTATAGTATTAAATATTATTCCAGTGTAAATCAGCTGTTTTCTGTGTGAATATATAGTAAAGTGTAATTTATTCCTGTGATCAAAGCTGAATTTTCAGCATCACCAGTGTCAGTGTCTTCAGTGTCAAATGATCCTTCACAAATCAGTATAATATGAGGATTTGATGCTCAAGAAACATTTATTATTATTATCAATGTTGAAACAGTTTTTTTAGGATTCTTTGATGAATAGGAAGTTCAAAAGAACAGCATTTGTTTGAAATAGAATCTTTTGTAACATTATAAATGTCTTTACTGTCCTTGATAAATAAAAGTATTGATTTCTTTCCTCCAAAAAATAAAAATAAAATTCTCACTGACCCCAAACTTTTGAACGGTAGTGTAGTATAAAATATGCGTATTTGGAGTGCTGTCCAAGGAGAGGGCTCCGACCTCCTAAATTGGCCCAAACTCAGAGCACTCCCACTCATCCCTGGCTGGGATGGGAATAATCATGAGTGAGGAGTTTGGGGTGGAAGAGGGACGCTGGCAAAACTGAGTCTGTTGTGGAACAGAGGTAAGTCGGCTCTGTATATATAAGCCTCCTCTCGCGCTCATTGAGTAGATGATCTGAACGTGCTTCTTCCGAACTTTGTTACTAATTTAGACCTATGAGAATCAATTCAAATCACTGCTCAAAGCGGACAATTTCCATTTCTGTCATGACAACTCTCGGAGTGATTAGCATGCTAATGGGAATGACAATGCTTTATGTTTGGTATGTATTTCTGCGGCAGAGCAAGTACGGGACTTGCTACTGCCATACACACACGACACGCTGCTGTGAGCAAGTAAGACATGCTGCTTCTGTACAATATAGTGTACATGAATTACCCGTAGCAGATCAATACAGGTGGAGCTGGGGAAGGTGGAGGTTTCTGAAAGTGCACTGCACTGCTAAGGCAAATGCTACCCAAGGATTTGATGGTTAAGTAGAGAGCTCATTGGCTACTGATACAGCAGGAACCAATCAGCTGCGCCCTATAGATAGCGATATGATTATGAACAGGTGAGATAAAGGACCTATTAGCCTGCGCCATATAGAGTTTCATCCCAGAACTTTGTATTTGTATTTTAGAGAAGATCAAGGACTTGGTGCCAAAGGGAGTCATTGATGAGATGACGAGAATAGTCTTGGTGAACGCCATTTACTTCAAAGGAAACTGGGAGAAGAAATTCAAAAAAGAATTCACCAGAGATGGGCAGTTTAAGCTGAACAAGGTGGGATTTCATGCTTATATATATATATATATATATATATATACAGTCACGAAAAGAGCAGTTAAAAAGTGTTTCCATTGATGTTTGGCAGAATCAAACTAAGCCAGTGAAGATGATGCATCAGGAGGAGAAGTTTCCTCTGGCCTTCATCCCAGAGATCAACAGTCAGGTTCTGGAGCTGCCGTATGACGGGAAGAATCTCAGTATGTTGATCATCCTTCCTAACGAGATGGAAGACGACACCACTGGCCTTCAGAAGGTGAGACAGCACAGATTGATAGTTTTTATTTTATTTTATTTTTTTAGCAAGTTAAAGGCCTTTTTGTAAAGACGTCCACCTTTGCTCGTGCTTCACATGTGTTTTTACTGTGAAATCGTTTCTGATATTTATAAAGTACACGTAAGAATAACTTTTACATTATTTTGATGAACACTTACTGGACTGAAGCAACTTAGGTTTACTTGATTATCCATGAATAATATTTTTGAAAAATCATATTTTAGTATAAAATATGATCTATCAGGCTTTTGATGAGTGTTTATTTGTTGATCTCAATCATCATTGTATTGCATTATCTGTTTTAAAACTACAGAGCTTTGATCATAAAACTAAGCACTTAAATAGCATCTTACTAAGACATATTATTGGCAGATATAGCTGATATTATATGTGTTGTATGTCATCTGCTATACAGTTATAAAGATTTAATTGATTTACAGTACAAGCTATCAGAATTTAATTTTGCCTTTTGGCCATATAAATTGCAGCATCTGCATCAAATTACATATTTTTGCTTAGCCTGTCAATAAACTGTCTCCATAACTTGCATTTTGTTGCCAAACTTTCCAAACACAAAGAAAAAAATCATCACATCATTGATGCTGTACAAACAGACCCCAGTTTATGCAAATAGACACACATTAACAATATCTCACTTTATTATCCAGCTTGAAAAGGCACTGACCTACGAGAAGCTCATGGAGTGGACCAAACCCAGCAAGATGATCCTACAGGAAGTTCAAGTGTATCTGCCCAAATTTAAGATGGAGGAAACCTACGACATGAAGAGTCTTCTGATCAGCATGGGAATGGAGGATGTGTTTGACGAGGAGAAGGTGAATCTTTCAGGCATGTCCTCCAACAACGACCTGGTGCTGTCGGACGTGATCCATAAAGCCTTTGTTGAAGTAAATGAGAAAGGAACTGAAGCGGCTGCTGCCACCGCCACCGTCGTGTCTTTTGGATGCGCAAGGCCCCCATCCACTCCCCCAAAAACCTTTATTGCAGATCACCCTTTCCTTTTCTTCATCCGACATAATCCCTCCAATGTCATTCTGTTTTATGGACGCCTCTGTTCTCCTTGAAGATAGTGATGATGACATAATTCTAGATGACTCTGTTCTTCAAATAAAAAAGGCATTAGTAAATAATTGAGTGAAATTGTCTGTATGCATTTACTTTCACAGGGTCATTTCAGAATCTTGAGACAGTTCTGTACAAGATACAAAGAACGATCTTTTTTTTTTTTATTAATCTGTTCAACATTTAGTTTTTTTTTGTATGCCACTTATATATAGTTCTGTCCTCCATAATTTTCTTGGCATTGAGTGTACAAGTTCACAACAAATTTTCACATCTATTCTGTTTACTCTTGGATGATGACCTTGTCTCTACAAATTCCCACACAGGTGCTCAAAAGTGTTGAGGTCCGGTGAAATACTTGTCGACTGAAGCATTTTAACCATGAGAGAATGTATAGTGTTATTATCATGTTGAAAAAGATTTTGTATTAGCCTACATAAATTCAATGGTGTGTGAATTCATGACATATTTATTAAGAAAAACTCTCCCACTACTTCAGCACTTATTCACGCCTTTATAAGAAATGTTCTATTACTGAAAAATTCAACAATACTGTTTTCAGGTAAACAACGCGTAGCACTGGCAGCGTTACATCAACATTCGTTGGTCAAGTCTGTGGAAACACGCAACAGGCCTGAGAACAGGCTCTGGCTCCAGAACGTGAACCATTATGGTGGAAAATGAGTAAGCGGAGAGCAGACACTTCTCACTGTACTCCTTCCCCTTGCAATTTTATACATTTTAGATGCTGTTAGATCAATGCATTTCACTTCTGCACGTTGCGTCTTGCAGTGTGAGATGAAAGCTTAATGTCGGCATGAAACGGAAGTTGCGATTATCCTTTTTTCCCTGTTGTGACGTAAATCTGATTGAAACGGCTTCTGAAATGAGAAAAAATAATTGGGCGGCCTTGATTTCGGCCATCTGTAATAGATTGGATCGTTGGAAGTGTTGCTAACAATATGGAGGCAGATCTTAATGTCAGTTTGAACTCAGTTGTGGAGGATTACTCTCCACCGGACTCACCGCCAGCACCCTCCCATGTATGATTTTTTATTGAGGAGCCCGACGACAACGACGAGAACCAGGACGATCAACTGCAGCAAAATTTTACGGACAGAATCAACCCATATTTATTCTAACAACTGCTTCCCTCGAACCGAGAGAGGGACCAAGACAAGGCAGCTAAAAGTTTGTTTATTTAAGAAATTCATAATAAATAATAAAGAAAGATACCCTGTTGAAATATGTGAGATCAGTGGCGGAGCCAGGATTTTTTCATAGGGGTGGCCAGGCAAGGGCCAGCGAACAGTCTGGGGTGGCATATAAATCTTAATTATTTTAACATAAAAATTAGTTTAAATAATGTATTGGACTGTTTTAGTGCCTTCCTACACAACTGAATACAGTTCATTTGTACTTAATTGTAATTGAGATAGTAGTGAAGGAATCATGGAATACTGAGTGAATTTGATCTTTTTTATTATTATTATTAGCTACTTACTACCTCCAGGCATATTAATAAAGAGTAAACACACTATAGATAAAGTTCAACTTGCTCAGTTGCACCTTCATGGATGAGACATGCAGATAACTACTGTAGTTCGAAGATTATTTAACCTTCATTGAATTTTATATAATCAATTAACTCTTCAACTTTCTATATTAGTTGTCAAAATAAAGAATCTAATCCGTTCTATCATACCTAAATTAAAAAGGGGGGAAAACATCTCTTTTGAATCTCTATGTCCAAGAATGTGAACAAGGCGTAAGTAAACAGCACATAAATACCAGAATGTAAAATTAGTTATTTTATGTATTTAAAAATGATAATTTTTTGTTTTGCCTTTACAAATTAACGCAAAATTACCGCCTATCTTCTAGTGGCTTACAAATGCACAGTGCTCACATTTAATTGAACATTAAAAAAAATCACATAGCCTGTCAGTTTGTGCCTTAAATTGTGATTTCACATGGCAGAATATTTTAGTCGAGACATATGTGACGCATATATAACAAATACATGCATGCATGCAGTTTTGACACAGATTTGATCGCCTTTTTGATTATTTATTGAGTTAGCTAATTGACGACAGAATTACTGCTACAGCACGCCACATTGCGCGTGATGTGCAAGTACAGTACAACGGCTGTCAGGACAGGAAAGTTAGTTTTACTGACATTTGTTGACCTTACAACATCTCATCTTACCACAGTTACTGATTCAGGACAACGCGCTTTTCTCCGCATCTGACAGAAGTGTCACAAGCTTTCACACAGATCTTTCATAATAAAAGTAGAAAGAGAATTACGTTGTTGTTTCTTTGACTGGACATATGCGACTCACTCAAAACGGTCTCACAACCCACCAGTTGAGAAACATCGAATCTATATTTACTATGCTCCGATCACTGCTCAAGCTCATTCGGTACCCGTACATCTCCGCACTCGTTTGACTTGCGCCTGGCGCTGAGGTGAAGTTGGAGTGCGCGTCTGAAAAGTCTCACGTTTTTTGTGGTCTTAAAGCGACGGTTCTGTGTTTTAAAAACAAAATTCTTGTAAAAATTAGAGCGAGACAGAAACAGCAGTTGTGAGAGGGGTGGCCAAAGGGGTGGCCAAGCTTAAGCCAAGGGTGGCCATGGCCACCCCTGGCCACCCCCTGGCTCCGCCACAGTGTGAGATGTGTGGTTTATATAAACTGCAAAGGCAAAGTATAAATTAAAATGATTGTGATCGATGTGAAGAGGGAGGAGAATACATACGTGCATCACGTTTAGTTGATAACACACTTCCGCATATGATACAGCTGTGTATCCTCGCTCATGACTCCTCAGGAAGACTCCTCGATCCTTGTGGTCCAATTAGAGAGTTGAGATGTCCTTCAAGATGGCTGAGCTTGATTGGTTTCCGGGTCATAGGATGGAGGACGGAGGTGAGAGGAGACGAGGAGGGATATTGAGAAGCACACCATGGCTGTGTAAGACCGTAAAACTTGTTGAAGAGAAAATATCTGACCACATGGTCTATTGAGACAAAGGACCTTGGCAAATTAACATTTGGCTTCCCCCCTCTTCCCCGGAGACAAAGGTCTCACCTCTGAATCATCCTAATCTACATTTCTTCCCCTCATCCCCCACTCCTTCCCCTTCATACAGATCACCTAAAACACACATAAGAATATATGTATGGTTTGATGTGAATGATTATCATTGAGTATTATGTTTGGTATCATTTGAAATGTCTCAGGAATGAGTGGTACAAATGTCTCATTCCAAATAAGTAAAACAAAAGGTAATAAGGTTTTTTAGAAGTTTAGAGAAACTGGCACAAAGAAGGTGAACAAATGGCCTTTCTCCCCTACCCCCCAAATAAGGTGTAACCTGAATGCAAATTACCATTGAAAAGAAGTTCTGGCTATTTAATGGAATGCAGCAAGGAGTCGTGGCTTTTTCTGTATTGCAGATAGCCCGTGAGATGAGGGTCACCGAGACCATTAGCTCATGTAGTCTATTTCTTAATATGTTGGGTTTGCATCTATTCTCTGTATTCCAGGGTATTTGATGTTTTGTATTGATGATATTTGAACTGATTATGAAATTGGCATAATACTTTTACCTGACATAATAAATTGTTATATTTGATTATTCTAACAGACTTTGACTTTATTTTCATTGGAGTTAAAACGAATAGTCAAACATTAACGTATACTTAATGATGCACAGATATCATTAAAACACTTTCATTCTATGGAGTCAGATGAAACGAGTTAATACATTAGATAAAAAGTATTGCATTTAATTAAATATCCCTTTGCCATTGGAAGAGACGGAACGCGCATGTGACCTTCACCGCTAATTTGAATGCCGCCCTTGGATCGAATTAGCAGGCCTTACAGCTGCATCCGAAAACGTAGGCAGCTGACTTGTTGCCTTGCTGCCCTATCAGGCAATGACTTTGCAGGCAGCGTTTGCATACGAAGGTACCTCACGAAACTGATTTCGCACAGACTTCTGAGGCTGTGTTATGGTTTAAGGCGAGACACGGCAGGCAAAAACATCGAATTTTCATGGAGTGATCAGTTTTGAGATTTTGGGCTAGTTTACTCCTTCAATATGTGTTCTTTCAAGCTGCTATAAAGAAAACGTTGAAAATATACATTAAGATGTTTATTTTATTACATTTTGTTTACTTGCGGCAGTAAGTTTCTCCCGAATTTACCAAGAAGTTAGCATTCCAACGCGTCATGCCGCTTTCCGTCTGTTTACTGAAGTCTGTCATGACCGGTATCGTTGTAAAGCTCTAAGTCTCCTGCACAACGCTATGTAACCCAAATATGGGGATTTCCTTTATATCAGTAACCAATCGTGAATGTCCAAAGGGTGATTTAAAGCTAATGACGAAATCTCATTGGCTACTGCTGGTTTCTGCTAACGTGATTCGCTCAGACGCATCACGTGGTTTACTCTGCCAATGTTAATCATAGACAGTATAAGAAGTGGACAGAGCCATCTCATTGGAACTCAGTTGAGACAGTTGAAGCCCATTTTTAGCGATTTCTGAGCACTTCCGTTCCTGACGCGCAGACTCAAACCGACTCAAACTAAGCTTGATGACGTGAGCAACCTGTCTGACAGACGTTAATCTTCTAGTAGCTGTGCGTGAAAATTGCCAACGTTAATCTTGCAGAGACGGGGAACTTGAGCAAAGAGTTCTTTGGCGTGAGTGAGCAGGAGTAAGTATTCCGTTGCTTTTATGGACTCATTATCTATGGGCTTCTCCCTTGACGGGACGTCCCCCCGATTGCCTGCGAGCTTCTCCTCCTGTCTGTACGGTCATTTCTGTACAGCGCGACAGAGAGTCGAGTGGTTATGACGCAATCGTTAGCCTATTTTTACTAAATCTGTTTCTACAGGGCCATAATGTAACATAGAAGGTAATGGAGCCCTTTATACATTGTCGTGTTTCTTTAGAAATAAATAATGGACAAATGGAGTCTTTAAACGCCTCAGATGTAAAGTTATTCGCTGTCAAAGTGACGCCAAAATGAATGGGAGTCAATGGAAATGCTAACACAAGTGAAGTTCTGCTACAACATGGCGGCACCCGGCCGGCTTCAACTTCTGGTCGATGGATTACCC